AATAATGTGTGACTAATATGTGACATCTATGCCACATGTCACAATACTGCAAAATGGTGGCAAGTGAGGTAGACCCCACTATCCACTCATTCCTTTTTTTGGATGGATACATTATGACACACACACACACATGGGAGAAGTTGCACAAATAAATAATGCTCTGGAATTTTATTCTTTTAAAAGATTGAACTTTCAAGTAATGTTTTACCAGAGCTCCAATGGTTGTTTGACCCTAGAGTTATTCTTGTGCCCTCTCCTCCAGTCTTATAGCCTCTGCACAGATGTTGCATTAGGTGAAGCGACTGGTTTAATTTTAGGTTCAAAAAAAAAATTCCTGCTCTTTTGCGTGTTGTAGCAGTGTTTAGAAATGAGCTAGGAGATGTATTCTGGTTCAAGAGGAAAGAGGAGACATGTCTTGTGCTTTAGGCTGACACATTTGCTTGAGATTAGAAACAGTTCTGGAGGGATTTAAGCTACAAAGGTAGATTTGAGATTAGAAACGCTCCTTGCATTAGAACAAACCGTGAACGTAGATGTGTATTTCCTATATCGGTTTTCTCAAAATTGAGGAGATTGTTCACATATACAAGTAGGAAGTTGACATTAAAAGGTATGTTAAGGCTATCCTTACTTTCTTTTTGGCATGATCCATACACACGAACAAAACGAGCAAATACATAGTTTCCATAAATGACTCTATTCATAGAAATACTAGAGATACGTATGTTCTTGATTCCCCATGTGTCATATTACTCTATCATCTGTTTATGGGTATCAAAAATACGTAAGTTGGTAAAGTTTATTTCATGATATTAATTAGAAGCATAATGGTCTTATGATGTACCGAGAGATTTTATTAACGTATTTCATATGTATTTCATGCATTTATACATGCACATTGACCCATGACCAGATGGCGTTATATACGCGTATATATATGTATATATATATATGTTTATGGGATATGGGAAAGGTTATGGCGTTATATACGCACCACCACCTGATAGCTGGTATACGTTGATGATTTTGCCCACAGTGTCTGAGATGATATGACAGGATGCCCTCAGAGGCTTGATGATGTTATGAACACATGTACCTATAGACGACATAACATTCATATTCATATGCATGATACTATAAGTCTTTCATGATTTACAAAGTTATCTAGACTTACAGGTTGAGTCTTTTACTCCATATTTCCTTTATGCTCTTTATATATTTATTTACATGCCTTACATACTCGGTACATTATTCGTACTGACGTCCCTTTTGCTTGGGGACACTGCGTTTTATGCCCGCGGGTATAGACAATCAGTTTGACGATCCCTCATAGTAGACGAGATTAGCATTCAGTGAAGGATCGGTAAGACTCCACCTCATTCGGAGTGCAGCCGAGTCTATGAGTCATCGTGTTAGAGTTTTGCTACAGGCTTACAGGTAGGCCAGTACCCTATCCCATTTGATGTCAAATAATAGAGGCTTTGTAGATAGAGGTTCATTTTAAACAGTATGTTAGAGGCCTTGACAGCCCATATGTATTCATGTTTTAAGAACGATAGTTTATTGATACAGTGTTTGCCCACTTATAGTTATGCATTACAAGTTGTGTCCATGTTGGCTCATGATTGTTAGAAGAAAAAAAATGAGTTAAGCAGTGGTTCACTCGGACCAGCACGGCACTGGGTGCCAGCCACGCCTCCCTAGGTTTGGGGCGTGACACCGTCGCCTAGCCATCCACAACCACAAACAACAATCCCCAACCCATGGATTACTTAAAAATCTTAAAACCTATTGCCATTAATGCCCCCATGCAAACCCTAGCTATGTTACCATTGAAACTAGTTGAGTTCCTTCATGGAGAACCAGTTGTGAAGTTGAAGAAACAAGAAGTGAAGCAATCCATCGTACAACATGGGCTTCAACTTGCAGTTCTTGGGAAATTTTCGTATGGGAAGCCTGTTATTGGTGCATTACGTAAAGTGATTCCAGTTCAATGTGAGATTAAGGGTCATTGTTCAGTTGGCTTGATTGAAGATAATCATGTTTGATTAGGCTGTCGTTATTGTAGGATTATGTTCATCTTCTTTCAAAGCCAGCTTTTTACTTAAAGGCTCAATCAGACATGTGGCATATGCGTTGTACAAAATGCAATCCATGGTGGACACCTGATAAAGAGACTCCCATTGCCATAGCTTGGATTAGCTAACCTGAACTTCCTCCAAATTTCTTTGGTAAGGAATGCGTATTTTCATTAGCTCATGCAGTTGGTAATCCATTAAATGTAGACCTAGCAACTCAAAATGGGACTAGACTTAGTTGTGCTAATGTGAAGGTGGAAGTGAATTTGGTAGGTAAGTTCCCTCAACGTATTAAGATTGTTGAAGAAGCTGATGAATCTGGGCCAGAATAGTTTAAATGGATTAGGATTAAATATGATTATATGCCAAAATGTTGCAAGCCTTGCAAGAAACAAGGGCATAGTGAGGCGGAATGCTGGGTAATTCATCCTGAATTACACAAGAGATTCGAAGAAGGTGTTGAGGCTCAAGGTAAGGAGAATATAGTTGTGGTGAGTACTGATGCAATTGGGACAGCTGCAAACTCAACAAAGGTTCTATCAAGTGGAAAGCTGGTTGGTAAGCTTGCTACTAACCATGCCAAGCAGAAATGGATGCAAGCAAGGAAGAACAAATACCAACGAGATAATAGGGGTCACATTGTTGATAACAAACAAGGAAAGGAAGCTGACAAGGGTAAAGGGAAGGCCAAGCTTGAGGAAGTAGAAACCAAGAACAAGTTTAATTCACTAGAGGTTGAGGAAGTTCATCAACCTACTCTACAAATTACTGAAGGCAAAGGTAAGGATCATAGCAATGGTAAGAAGAAGGAACATGGGGAAAAGCAATCCAAGAAGGGCCAGGAGAAGGAAAAGGAAGGCAATACCGGAGTGTCAAGCCTTAATCATAAGGCTTCTGGGGTTAGGGTTGGGAAAGATGCTAATAATAAACTAGCTGGAGAAGCTGATCAATAGGAACATAAGCGTGTGAAGAAGGAAGCAGTTGAGAAAGTGTTGGAAGATCAGCATAATGGGAACTTAGCTAAGGCTAATTCTATTGTTCCTAGTGATCAAAGTACTTATGAAAGGGCTAATAAGGAATCCACAATCGACTGGGTTCATAGAAGGTTTGGAACTAGAAAAGAGGAGCTAAGGCAACTCAATGTGACTACAAACCAATCATGTCAAGATATTCCATCTCAAACATTTGCAGATTCTGGGCAGCTTGAGGACCTTGATGAGGTAAACTCAATAGAGGTTTTATGGAGTGATGTAATTGAGGTGGAGGATGATTAGCTAGGCACGACAAAGACAACAGGAGACAAGGTAAAGAAGGACAACCCTCAACCTGGCGTAGGCTGGCGACGCAAGGCCTGAAGCCAGGTTCCCCAGGCGTTAGGCTTGCAACGCCAGGCCAGAAGCCAGGTTCCCTAGGTGTTAGGCTGGCGACGCCAGGCCTAGCGCCAGGTTCACCTGATGAGGCAGCTACAGTAAACCCTATCCCTAGTGCAACTGGAGAGATTTTGGCCTATGTAGATGGTGTTCCGGTGTATGCATTTGAGAACAAACTTCATGGAGATGATAATGTAAAGGTTAGGGATGAGACAGTGGGGTCAGACCAAAACACAGGCAATGGAAAGGGTGGTGATATCAATAGAATAGACATTTCTGAGTAAACTGCTACAGTAATTCCTGGGGTAGGCAGTGTCTATGAGCAGAAATTCAAAATGATACAGGCTGTTGCTTCTTCTATGGAGAATAGCAAGGAAAAGGCTGATGAGCATGCAATTGTAAAACGAGCATCTGGGGAAATAGAGGAAGTGCCTATGGAATCTGGCACCGATCAAATTATGCAGCTGCATCTTAATGTTCCATTGAAGACTCCTCTACAATATTTACATGATTTAGTTACACACAATGTGGCACCAATTGATGAAGACTTATTGAGGCAAAATCCAATGGAGGATGACGGAGATGATGAATCAACAGCAGAAAACTTCAAACAGGTGGCAAGGGAAGGGGATATATCACCTACAGCTAGTGCTAATGGAGGTAAGAAAACAAAGAAGAATCAGAATAAAGAGCCACAACAACCTTCAAGAATTATGCCCAGGAGGGCGGCTTCTCTATCTAATTGATGATCAAAACATTAATATGGAACATAAGGTCTGTGAATACACAGCAGGCCTTTCCTAGGGTGACCAATATGAATAGGGAGCATCACTTTTGTGTAGTTGCATTGATGGAGCCTTTTCAAAAGAAGGGATTCATTAATTGATATAGAAGGAGGTTGAATATGGAGACTGCTTATGCAAATATAACGGGCAAATATGGTTGTTCTTTGATGTAGTGGTGGAATGGGAATTAGTGGAGGATACTGAGCAACAGGTGACTGTGAAAGTGTTTCACCATGACTTGGGGCAGCACATGATGATGACTTTTGTTTATGCAAAATGTTCAGCATTGGAGAGGTTAGAATTGTGGGATCATTTGTATTACCTAGCAAGTGATATGGAATTGCCATGGTTGGTAGGAGGGGACTTCAATGTGGTATTGCATGAAGATGAGAAGATAGGGGGACTTCCAGTACACCCTCCTAAATATGAGGATTTCGCATTTTGTGTAAACTCTTGTGGTACGTTTGAGCAAGGGTACAAGGGAAGTCCATTTACATGGTGGAATGGGGGACCCAATGCTGCGTGTATATTCAAAAGATTGGATAGGATCCTTGTGAATTTGACATTTCAAAACATGTTGCCAACTATTGAAGTTGAGCATCTAATCAGAACTGGATCAGATCATGCACCATTGCTAATGACATGCGGGGAGAAGACTACTAATATGTCGAGCCTTTCAGATTCTTGAACTTTTTGACAAAGCATGCTACATTTATGGATGTGGTGAGGCGGAATTGGGAAGCCGATTTCATAGGGAATCATTCTTGATGTTCAAGCAGAAGCTCAAAAGGGTGAAGGCAGCACTTTCAAGATGGAGTAGGGAATCAGGTGATATATTCAAGCGGCTGTCTATTTTAGAGGACATTGTTAGGGTGAAAGAGATATTGTTTGAAGAAGAACCTACAATTGAGAATAGGATTGTGCTTCAAAAGGCTCAATCTGAATTGAAGAAATACTTGAGTATTGAGGAGCAGTATTGGAAGGAAAAAGCTGGGATGACTTGGTTTGATGAAGGAGATATGAATACAAGTTTCTTTCACAATCATGTCAATGGCAAAAGAAAGAAGTTGCAACTGAAGAGGATCAACAATGGCAGTGGGGTATGGATTGAAGATCAGGAGCAATTGGCTACAGCTGCAATGGACTTCTATAAAAACCAGTTCACAACTGAAGGTGATGCTTCTGACTTTTCCTTGCTCAATAATATACCTTCCATGGTGACTATGGATGAGAACTTGGAACTTAGCAGAATGCCAACACTTGAAGTCAGGGATGCAGTTTTTGAGCTTAGTGGGGAGAGTGCTAGTGGACCTGATGGATTCACTGGCCTATTTTATCATTCATGCTGGGATGTTATTGGTGCTAACACACACAACATGGTTCTACATTTCTATGGAGGAGTTGCATTGCCTAAATCCATTACTCATACCAATCTAGTGTTGCTGCCAAAGAAACCTAGAGTGGAGACCTTTTCTGACTTAAGACCTATTAGCTTGAGCCACTTCATTAACAAGGTCTTTTCTAGGGTGTTACATGATATATTGGAGGGATTTCTTCCTTCTCTAATATCTCCAAACCAATTCAGATTTGTGAAGGGTAGGAGCATATTTGAGAACATCTTATTGACCCAAGAAATTGTGACTGATACAAGGCTAAGGGGAAAGCCAGCTAATGTGGTGATCAAGCTTGATATGGCTAAGGCTTATGACAGTGTTTCATGGAAGTATTTATTGCATGTGCTGAGGAAGATGGGATTCTCTGAACACTTCATCATCATGGTGTGGAACTTGGTGTCAATTAATTGGTATTCACTGTTGGTGAATGGGCAGGCTTTAGGGTTCTTCAAGTCAACTAGGGGTGTGAAGCAAGGGGATCCTCTATCTCCAGCTTTGTTCATATTGTCAGCTGAGGTACTTTCCGGGTCTTTGAATAAGCTCTTTGAACACAAGTCATTTATGGGATTTGGAATGCCTAAGTGGTCTGATCCTTTAAACCACTTGGCATATGCTGATAAGACTATAATCTTTGCATCTGCTCATCCTCCCTCTTTGAGCAAGATTATGGCAGTACTGGGAAGCTATGAGAGGATATCAGGCCAGATGATCAACAAAGATAAGAGTTCTTACTACATGCATTCAAAGGTTGCTAATGGATTGTTTCAAGCAGTTGGAGCTATTACTGGATTTGCAAGAGGTAAATTACCTTTCACATATCTAGGGTGTCCCATTTTCTACACTAGACGAAGGAAGGAGTATTATGAGGACATTATCAAGAAGGTGAAGGCTAAATTGCATTCATGGAAAGGGAAAGCTATTATCATTTGGTGGAAAAGCAACACTCATCTCGAGTGTGTTGCAAAGTATGCCAGTGCACATGTTATCAGTCCTTGATCCACCAAACAACATCTTGGAGAATCTACATAAGATCTTTGCTAGGTTCTTTTGGAGCACAAAAGAAGAAGGGTGGAGCAGACATTGGGCTTCTTGGCAAAATCTTTGCCTTCCTAAAGAAGAAGGGGGCCTAGGTTTTAGGTCCTTACATGATGTTTCAAGGGCACTATTTGCTAAGCTTTGGTGGAGGTTTAGGACCACAAAATCTTTGTGGTCTAATTTCATGTGGAATAAGTATTGCAAAAAGGAGTTACCAACAGTGGTGCAGTTTAGGGAAGGGTCTCATGTTTGGAGACAAATGCTGAATGCTAGAGAAGAAGTTGAACATGAGATCTTATGGGAATTGAAGAGTGGAACAACTAATATTTGGCACAAAAATTGGACTGGATTGGGTGCACTTTATCATGTACTTCCTGAAGACTTTCCTATCAATGAAGATCTCCAGGAAGTGGCAGAATTGAGGCATGGAGAAGCATGGGATGATCAGCTACTAGACCAGACCATCAATGAAGATATTGCTGAACATATTAGATCCAATGTGCATTATGAAGGCAGTGAGGAGTACTGGGATAAACCATATTGGATGCCAACCTCATCAGGCAAGTTTAGTGTTAGTAGTGCTTGGCAAAGGCATAGGGGCAGATCCTAATCAAGAGTACAAGCTAATATGGATAAAAGGTTTTCCATTCAAGATATCATTTTTCATGTGGGGATTGTGGAGGCAGAAGATAGCCACTGATGATATGTGGAGGAGGCAAGGGCAAATGGTAATGTCAAGGTGTTGGTGCTGTCAGCAACCTCAAGAGGAGTCTATAGAGCAATTTTTCTTACAAGTCCTACTGCATCCAAGGTGTGGAACTTGTTCATGGGAGCTGCTGGAATCATTGTGCCTTTGATTCAGCTGAAGCAAATCATAAGGCATTGGTGGAATGCACAATGTTGTCCCAAGCTGAAGCCACTGTTCAGGCAATTCCAGCTATCATCACTTGGGAGCTATGGAAGAGGAGAAATGCAGGCAAACATGGAGGATCAGTGTCCACAAATAGGGTGATTCATAAAGTCAATAGGACTTTACATTATTTGGCAAGGGTGAGGTATGCTTGGCTTCCTAATATTCCATTGTTATGGCCGGACATGATCCAATACTTGGAAGGATATAAACCTATATTAATCACTATAAGAGTAACATGGTAGCTTCCTTTTCATGGTTGGTATAAATGCAACACTGATGGAGCCTCAAAGGGCAATCCTGGTCCTAGTTCCCTAGGCTTTTATGTGAGGAATGATGAAGGTGATGTGGTGTATGCTAGGGCAGTAGACTTGGGGGTGACAACCAATGTGGTAGCTAAAGCTAAGGCGATTCTTCAAGGTTTGGAATACTGTATGGAGCATGATCTTCACCCTCTCATATTGGAAACTGACTCATTGGTGATGAAGAAGGTGATAGAAGGGGAATGGGATCCTCCATGGGTAATTGCACCTGATGTGAAGAGAATTAAGGAGCTGAAGGGCAACTTCAATGTGATCTTTCAACATGTGTTCAGAGAAGGCAACTCAGTGGCGGATTTCATAGCTAACATTGTGTTTTCTTTTGCAAGTACATCTGAGTTTCACTCATTCTCTAAACTGCCTAGTGCAGGGAGGAGGTTGATCAATTTAGACAAGTCTCAAACTCCTAACCTTAGGGTCAGATTAGCAAAGAGAAGAGCCCCAGACTGATGGCTTCACGGGATTGGAATCTACACATACCTGCATGTTTCTTTTATGTCTCATTCTGTACGCTGTTAAGGTACCAGTGGTATTAGCATGGTCACATGCTCATTCTGGGGGTGCTTTGATAGTGTATAGGAACAATGTGATAAGCAGGTATTGGATGGTGCAATTTATCCTACTTCTGATATGTTCAAATGTTAAGGAAATGGCTGAATTTGTTATGTTGCATTTCTGGAGATTATTGAATCATTTCTCAGTGGTATTAGCATGTTTTCATGCTCAATCTGAGGATGGTTTAGCAATGTTTAGAATGATGTCTACATTAAAAGTTTGGGTAGAGAAGGATCTGAGCTTAAAAGATCACAAAATTACCCTGCTCCACAAGCCTGGCGGTGCCAGGCTAAAGCCTAACTATACCTGGCTTGACCCTGGGGTCGCCAGCCTCAAGCCTGGCTTTAGCCTTGCAAAGCCTGCTTAAAGCCAGCCCCAGCCTGGCTTTTGCCTTGTAAAGCCTACCTAAAGCCAGCCCCAGCCTGGCTTTTGCCTTGCAAAGCCTGCCTAAAGCCAGCCCCAGCTTGGCTTTTGCCTTGCAAAGCCTGCCTAAAGCCAGCCCCAGCCTGGCCTTTGCCTAGCAAAGCCTGCCTAAAGCCAGGTTCTTTTACATGTTAATTTTGATACGCAAGCACATGATTGGTACTTGGAAAAATTCATTTCACTGCATATGGAGATCATATAGTAGCAACACTTGGAAGACTATGCTGGCTTCAATTTTGTGGTGGAGATGTTTGGAATTCATTTTAGCCTATGGACTGTATACCCTGGCGCTTGGCGAGAGCTTGAAAGGTGTTGCTTGGTATTTGCCATTGGCAATTGGATTCATGTATACGGTCAAAATCATATGCATCTAATTTATAGGATCGAGGGTTCGTCTTAAGCCTGAGTTCAGGCGAGGTCGAGTACGAGTTCGATGGATCAGACCCGAGCTCGAATATAGGATGCAATGCCTGAGGATCAAAGTACAATGGACATCGAAGTCGAGTATGCTCGACCCCGAAATAATGCCGTTATGGATTTCTAACAGAATGAGCGAGATTCCTGCCACGTCCCTAAAATCATGGCACAAATCCCCAAATAGGATTGTAAGATTTTGTACTAGGCGGTTAGACAGCTGTACCAATAATATTCCTTACTGTAAATATAAATGTACCTTATTTAAGGTTCCCCTATTATATAAAGGGGACCCCAATCATTTGTAAGATCCATCTAATCATTTTGGCAAAGAATATACTCTCTACTTTTGGCTTACTGTTCATTAGGATTGTCCTTTACATTTATTGTTCTTACTTTATTGCTCTTAGTTCACCTCGAGGTCACTAAGTCGAGGTCACCACTGCTGAGTAACATTGGTTTGATTCACTTATTTCTTTCATTTCTACTTCATATTTCTTGATTATTAATTGGTATTGAACTAAATCACATGTCTTTAAAACCACAAATCAAATTTAATTGTTACTCGTATTTTCGAGGTAAACAGTTTGGCGCCCACCGTGGGGCTAAAGATAATAGTGATTATTTCATTACTGATTCTCGTTACACATGTTATTTTTACACTTTTTCTTGTCAAGAATTTTTTATTCTCAGGCTGAAACATGTCTAGCTCACAAAATGCACTTGTTCATGACAACGAAGGTCTTGGGGAAAACAACAATATAGGGGTCGGTGTACCACCAATAAACCCTAGGGAAGTGCTAAATATGGAACCAGTTGATGTTAGTTCGCACATTGCTCTAAACGCGGATTTAGGCACAGACCTCGGAGGGACTGTAGGCAGGGAAGCCCGATCTGGTGGCCAAGGAACACAAGAAATGGGAGATGGTGGAATCAGCCTCCAAGTGATATTCGAGATGCTACAAGCTCAACAGATCGCCATCACTCAACTTCAAAGTCAGAATAAGACTCTGAGTGCAGTTGAATATGAAAACACTCGACGTGTTGAACCAGCGCCATAGAGGTCGAACGGAAATAACTCGGGGACTGACCCCACCATTATGAGGATGCTCGAAAACTCACCAAGAGGATCGAGTCCGGGGAAAAGAAGATTGAGGACAATGATAAAAAGATGGAGACTTATAACTCCCGTGTTGACCAAATACCAAGGGCACCTCCAGTTTTGAAAGGTTTAGATGCCAAAAAGTTCATACAAAAACCATTCTCTCACACCACAGCTCCGATGCCTATTTCCAAAAAGTTTTGCATGCCCGATATACCCAAATATAATGGGACAACCGACCCTAACGAGCATATTACTTCATACACTTGTGGGATCAAAGGAAATGAATTGAATGACGACGAGATCGAATTAGTTTTATTGAAAAAGTTTGGGGAAACGTTGTCTAAAGGGGCCATGATTTGGTACCATAACATGCCTCCTAACTCTATTGATTCGTTTGCTATGTTAGCAAACACCTTCGTGAAAGCGCACGCCGGGGCCATAAAGGTGGCAACGAAGAAATCGGATGTTTTCAAGAAAAAGCAGAGGAACGACGAGATGTTAAGAGAGTTCGTGTCCAGGTTTCAGATGGAGCGAATGGAATTACCACCGGTCTCGGATGACTAGACAGTACAAGCTTTTATGCAGGGATTGAATGAAAGGAGCTCGATTGCGTCTCGATAGTTAAAGTAGAATCTGATCGAGTATCCAGCTATGACGTGGTCAGATGTGCACATCCGTTATCAATCAAAGATCAGGGTCGAGGATGACTAGTTGGGAGCCCCCTCGGGTTCAGTTCATCCTAACAGATTCGCAGCCAAGCCCCTGAGGGATACGGACAAGGAATCAAGATCGAACAAGGAACGGTATCAGCCATACGTTGATCGGAAAAACAACAGCTCAGGCCGTAACGCCCCTCAAAATGATCGAAGAAACGATCGAGGCCAAAGCTCTTGAGGACTAATGAGTAAGAGCGGGTTCGATAAGCATACCGACCTCGCGGAGGCACCTCGATTGTCGGAGTACAACTTCAGCGTAGATGCATTGGGGATTTTATCAGCTATTGGAAGAATCAAAGACACCAAGTGGCCCAGGCCTATACAAATTGATCCTTCTCAAAGGAATCTAAACTTGATGTGCAAGTATTATGGCACGCATGGCCACAGAACCGAAGACTGCAGGCAGCTAAGGGAGGAGGTTGCTCGGTTGTTCAACGAGGGTCACCTTCGAGAATTCCTCAGCGATCGAGCTAAGAATCACTTAATGGAGATAGATGCAAGGAAAAATGAGCAAGAAGAACCACAACATGTAATAAGATGCAAGGAAAAATGAGCAAGAAGAACCACAACATGTAATCCAAATGATCGTTGGCGGAGTAGATGTCCCTCAACGACTTGTGTTCAAACGCACCAAGGTATCAATCACTAGGGAAAAACGGACTCGGAGCTATGTGCCCGAGGACGCCTTATCCTACGACGAGGAAGCAGAAGGCATATCTCAGCCACAAAACGATGCCCTGGTAATTTCTATCCTTTTAAATAAAATTCAAGTTAAACGTGTTCTAGTGGATCCAGGTAGCTCAGCAAACTTAATCATATCGAGGGTCGTAGAACAACTCGGCCTATAGGATCAGATTATACCTGCATCCCGGGCCCTAAATGTCTTCAACATGGCAAGCGAAACAACAAAGGGGGAGATTATCCTACCAGTAAGCATAGTCGGGACCATACAAGATACAAAATTCCATGTCATCGAAGGCGACATGAGGTGCAATACACTCCTTGGAATACCATGGATACATAACATGAAGGCGGTACCTTCAACTCTTCATCAGATGATGAAATTCCCAACGGAGGATGGAGAGAAAACAGTCTACGGAGAGCAACACACTGCAAAAGAGATGTTTGCAGTCGATGAAGTGACGCTGATACCAGTGCCTTCGACCTCGGAAAAGACGAACACCAAAGGTAAGCAAGCGTCCAAATAGCAATCACCGCCTCCAACCTCAACGGAATTGGAGCAACAGGTAATCGAAGACGAAGAAGAGGATTACCTTACTCCTCGAACCTTCGTCGTTCCCGAAGAGTCCGATGCAACCAAGTCAACAGTTGAGGAACTGGAGTAGATCATACTGATCGAATACTTGCCCGAGAGAAAGGTATACCTGGGAAAGGGATTAACCCCCGAACTCAGGAAAAAACTCATTCAGTTTCTTATTGATAATATGGATTGCTTTGCTTGGTCCCATTTAGATATGACAGGGCCCACAGGAGATAACTACGCACCGTCTTAGCCTCAACCCCAGGATCAAACCAGTGAAGCAAAAAAGGAGGCATCAATCCGAGGTGAAGCATGCATTCATAAAGGACGAGGTAACCAAACTTCTTAAAATAAGGTCTATTCGGGAAGTAAAATACCCCGAATGGTTAGCTAACGTAGTTGTAGTTCCTAAAAAGGGAAATAAACTTAGAGTGTGCATAGATTACAAAGATTTGAACAAAGCATGCCCGAAAGATTCTTTCCCACTGCCGAACATCGATCGTATGATCGACGCCGCGTCCGGCTACGAGATTCTAACTTTTCTCGATGCCTACTCTGGGTACAATCAGATTCAGATGAACCCGGAGGACCAGGAAAAGACTTCATTTATTACTAAATTTGGAACTTATTGTTACAACGTAATGCCTTTCGGGCTAAAAAATGCAGGAGCTACATACCAACGCTTAATTAACAAAATGTTCGAAGAACAAATAGGTAAAACAATGAAAGTTTACATTGATGATATGTCGGTTAAGTCCCTACGCGCAAAGGACCATTTAGCTCATTTGCAGAAAACATTCAACATCTTGAGGAAATAAAACATGAAGCTTAACCCGGAAATATGTGCCTTCGGAGTTGGCTCGGGTAAGTTCCTCGGCTTCATGGTGTCGAATCGGGGCATCGAAATTAACTCCGATAAGATCAAGGCCATCGAGGATATCACAATCATGGACAATGTGAAGGTCGTGCAAAGGCTAACAGGTCGAATAGCTACTTTGGGTCGATTCATTTTGAGGTCATCATATCAAAGTCACCGGTTCTTTTCCTTGCTCAAAAAGAAATAGGATTTCGCATGGACCCCGGAATGCCAACAAGCCTTGGAAGAACTGAAGCGATACTTATCAAGCCCGCATTTGCTTCACACCCCGAAGGTAGATGAAAAACTTTACCTATATTTGGCAGTGTTCGAGATAGCGGTAAGTAGGGTTCTAGTTCGAGAAGATCAAGGTACGCAATTCCCTATTTATTATGTAAGCCGAACAATAGGAGATGCTGAAATCAGATACCCTCACTTAGAAAAACTAGCACTTGCATTGATAAGCGCATCTAGGAAGCTAAAGCCATATTTTCAATGTCATCCCGTATGTGTATTAACCACTTACCCCCTTCGAAAAGTTTTGCGTAAGCCCGAATTATCGGGCCGATAGGCCAAATGGGTTTTACCGGCA